CTTACAGGTTTCAAAGGAATGCATTAGCCCTGGGAACCTTAGCACATGAGGCAATTAAGTAGCAGCCTTTAATTTTGATTTATTAATGCTGCAAAATGGAAGCAAGTATTGAAGGATCAGAATGTATTTTATAAATAATTTTCTTTTCAAAAAAACAGCTACACCCAAAAGTTTATGAGGACTAAATCTGGGAGTTAGTTAAAAAAAGAAGAGCTAAGCCATTGTGGAATACTAATGAAAGCAACATTGTGCAAAACTGTAGAAAAAAGAAACCTAAGGAAGCAGGAAAAAAACTATATCAATTTGCTTTAACATGGGGAGGCTATTGACAGCAGGACATGCACCTTTGCTGGAGATGGAATAGTTCTGTCTTTCCCACCATGTCAATCTACTGCTTGGATAGATTCAGTGAGGATCAACAATATATATTTTAGTTGAGTTTTTCTTGCCTGGGGGCTTCCTAACCATCAGGCCAACCATTCTTTGTTCTCTTTTATTACGAACAGTACTTTCAGGGGCAAACAGTGGTTGAAAAAGGTCACTCTTGATAGGAAAATTATCTGGGGCTCTAATCCAAGTCAGGAAATAGCCTTGGAAAACTCATATTTATCTAGAATTGCAACTGAATGGATCTCAAACATCTGTGTGTAGGCGTCTGGGATGGTATGCTCGAGGTCATCACCATGCAAATATCAGTGTTTAAGGGCTGAATTTCTGGAACATAATGGGCATATTCCAGGTTTAAAGCAAAACATAATTTGTGTTTTATGTATACTCACTAGAAAACATAAACAATGAGCTAAGGAACACTAGAGCACTACTAACTTAACAATTAGATATAAAGCTGTGATTGCAAACATATGGCCATGCGTGCCCAAAGTGGCACATGGAGCCATGTCGCCTGGCCAGCACGACATCATCGGTTCCTCTTTCGGGTTTCTGGTGTGTATGCGTATGCGACGATCAGCTGGCCTTTGTGTGTGTGGTAGTGCCAGAAACTGGAAGAGCTGGTCTTCCATTTTCTGGCATGAGCATACATGCCAGCCANGATTCAAACCGTAGATCTTGTTTTGACTGGCAACAGTTCTTGATTGAGCCGGCAGTGGCCCAAGATACTTGGCTCCCTATCCTGATGCCATCATTTACCAAAGTCAGGTTATTTTGAGGTTTTTTTTTTTTTTTAAATCCTTTCCAGAAATACCTGCAAGGAACAGTTCTTCGCTCTGCTAAACATCTATTGCCTAAGGTGGCTGGTTCACTCTGCTTAATGGTGAAACCAGCCCTCCTGAGACCTTTTCAAATGAAAATTCTGGGTTTCAGATCTAAAAGAGTACAGATTGGCTGTGATCTAATTGAAGTATCGCTTCAGGTTGGGTCATTGAAGTAATCTGATTCAAAGCAATGCCTCCATTCAAAAAAAGCAAATTGCTCCACTGTGACATTTCAATCCATGGGGGCGTGAGGGTGGAGTTTGATTCAAGACAACCCATCGCTTTAGTCTGGAGAAAAGTCTGCAGATGAATGGGCCTGGGCCAATTTGACCAAGGATGTTGTTTCTCTTTGGAGGGAGCTGTCAATCAAAGTTTTGCCAAATCAAAGCATTCTTTTGAAACTCTTCAGTTATTCACAGGATGGCTGCAAGCAAAGTAAGTATTATAAACCCTGTGCTGCCCTCCTCTCAAAAGACCAGCTGCACCAACATAAAATGATCTGAACGTAGGAAGACTTGTTAGCATACATCACTTTCCAATTTTTCATAGCGGGCAACAAAATATGAACCATGTGATGCTTGAACTCCCAGGAAATGTTTATTTTCAATAAAGCCTAGAACTCTAAAGTGTGACATTAGGGAAGTTTTCCATTCTGAAAGTCAGCTCTCCTTTGTGAATATAGGCTCACCATATTCCGGGAGTTTCACAAATTCAGAGGCTTCGCTGGGTAAGCTAATTCCCCAGGGATTGCTGGCGCTGACCCGGAACTGGTACTGACAGCCAGGCATAAGGTCTTCAATAACGAGGTAGGTGTCCAAAGTTGAGGCAACAGACTGCTGCCAGACCTGGGAGCCTGTGTGGTATGAAGAAAGACAAAAGGCAAAAGAGAGAAAATAACCAACATTGAAATGCAATTGCACATTCCCTTCTTAGTGACATAGGCGACCAGCCGTCAATCACAGAAGGTTAGAAAGAAAGCACTCCAGTTAAAAAATGTTCCTACAAATTGATCTAAGGAAGAGTAGAGGTATTTTCACCTTGGTATTCAGCCTGGTTTCAATAGAACCGAAACATTAATCAATTTAGGGTTTTTAAAAGGATGTTCTATAGAACCATGATGGCAAACATATGCCGGCATGCGAGCAGTCGCCAAGCTGAGCTCCACCAAGCATGTGCATGTGCCTCCCACCGGCCAGCTGATTTTCAAGCCATCAAGAATATAACTATATGTACATCCAACAGGAACAGGAAGTTCTTCATAGGAGCAGATAGAGGTAAATCCTAGAGAGGCAGGATATGCATCACTGAACAATGGAGATAAATGCTAGAGAGGAATAAAGCGGCATACAAGGCTGATATAACACCTGAAAGAGTGTAGGCATGCAGAGGGGGCAGGGTGAACACGAGGCCTGCTAGGCCCAAAATGGGGCATGGGAGGGTCACATGTGCAGGGGGGCAGGGAGTACACACTGTATTATGGGTGTGTGCACGTGTGTGTACTTTCAACACACGAGGACAAAAAGGTTCACCATCACTGCTATAGAAGTTTTTCTTCTGTGAGAAGTTAACTGAGATGTGTGAAAAGGTTAAGGCAACAAATAATAGCCACTACCTCAACAAACTCTCAAATGGGTAGCAGAGAACTCTTTTTGGCCCCTTGATCAGGGGTTTGGGGATTTGGTTTTATGAAAAAGTTTGAAACCCCTGATTAAACAGAAGAAGTGGTGCTTCCAGTCTTTTATTAGTGGTGTGTCTTAAGAGTAGATTGTAGGCCCAGCCATGGAGCCATACAACCTTGGGAGTGCCCATTTGTTGTCATGACAGTCTATTTATTTTCCCACTCCCTCATTCTCTTTAAGAAACAGGATGCCAAATGCATCTGAAGCTCTGCTCTGCAGGATACCTAAGTCCCTTTAAAACTTAGGTAAATATCAAATGTTTCAGTGACTTTGCTTGGTTAGGAAAGAGGGTAGAAGAGCCCTGCGTAGAAAGTGAGGGGGAACAAGAGAAAAAGAAGCTGTCCAGGTATATGTGGAGCATCTGGCATTTGTGTCACACTGATAATACTACAGAAATAATGGTAATTTGGGAACCACATTCAACATTTTAGTGAATGAAGCATAGGAAAAGATAACAGAACAGAACAGCACATGACAGAACAGGAGTAGAGTAGAGTAGAATAGAATAGAATAGAATAGAATAGAATAGAATAGAACTTTCTTCTAACAGAAACATGAATATGTTAGACTTGGAGTGATATGGATGAAAGAGCATGGAAGGCAAGGACTGAGAAGATAGGCTGTGATAATTCTGCGATGAAGGGAGACATGGAGTCAATTGAGATCCATGTCCTTAGTGATACTAAGGGGACTATTGTAATTTCATCTCCAGTTTTGCCGAGACCCTTCTGACAAAATTTTAGTATAGAAAGCTGAAGAGTGATAGGAATGATATTAGACAATGCAGCTTGAACAATGCTTGCCATTTATTGAAACTCATCAGATATTTTCTAGTTACAAAGGACTTTTCAGGACTTTTGATGTATGGTGCACACATGCCACTAATTGGAAATATAACAAAATGGAAAGTAGATGAAAGAAACACAAGAATGCAGGGCAACTGTTCCTTAAATAAAGAGGCCACAGTAAGGTAGCAATTCTCCAGTTACTAAATTGTAAGATGTAAAGGTGCAAGATGTTTTGGGTAGAAGATCTCCCCACACAACCTCATCCTCATTTCTTTCTAGTTATAGTCAATGGGCTGAAATCAAGCAATCAGCCTTAGATATTGTCAGATTAGACACTAATGACAAAGCTCATCAGATGTTTTTGCACACCTGCAAGAGGGGAATAACAATTGGAAATGAGGATACTAGATTTAATCTAGGTCAGGGGTGTCAAACTCGTAGGCCATGGACCAGATACATCACATGCTGGCCACGCCCACCCCTGGTTTACCGAAGGGGAAAAAAGTTGTGATACGTCACGTGACAATAGGTCGTCACAACTTTGACACCCCTGATCTAGGTGCTTAGTGTTTCATCAGGAACAGCAGTGGCAGATTAAGGCTCACTGGTGCCCTAAGCACTGACAAATCTTGGTGCCTCTCCCTCCTTTGTATATACTGTATACATCTTCATTGGTTTTTTTTTCCTTTCTCAACTTTGTGGTGCCCCCTTTGGGCCTAGTGCCCTAAGCATTAAGCACTTAGTTTGCTTAATGGTTAATACACCACTGAGGAACAGAGAACATTAATGAAGCTTCCTTGGAGTTCTGAGCCTTTCATAGCTAGCACTAGAAATCATTGCTGACTTTATGGTCCTGCAATTGTTCTTTTATTATTATTACTAGCTGTATCCGGCCACGCGTTGCTGTGGCGCAGTCTGGTTAAATGGAAAAGAAAGAAAAGAGAAAGCGCAAGTTTTTTTGTTGTTCCATTGTCTGTGCAGATATAGAGATTGTATGGTTTGTCGACTCTAGAACACGCAATGTATGTGAGAAACAATCTTCAATTGCTGGAAAGATGTTGGACCGGGCACATTTACCAACAGCATGCAAAGAAAGAAACATTCCCAGGGTGGTTACCTCCGGGCAGGGTCATGCCGTTGCCAGCAGTGGCAAGGTTCGTGAGGGTCTTGCCCACATGGCGGGCCCTGCCACTCACTGCACTGGCCACGGCTCCCCTGGCAGAGGTGGCCCCTGCATGGAAGTGAGCCACGGTGGCCCCTGCAAGAGCAGCCACAGAGGACNGTGTGTGTGTGTGTGTGTGTGTGTGTGTAATGAATTATGAAAAAAATGAACATCTTGTATTTAAAGAAAAAGGGCTTTGCCTTTTTTTTCCTAGCAAAGGCACTCTATATATATACTTAATAGCCCCACCTCCTAACATCATTTTCTGTACTGTTTGTTCTGCTTTTCTGTATTGATTATTACTTATCTAGTGAGGCAAAGTGGGAAAAACATTTACAGCACTTGTTTGGAGAAGTTTGGTAGGAAAAGGGGAAAATATTAGGGAAATAGCCCTGTTAATTTGATTTAGAATTATTATTAAGCATGACATGAGTCTTACAAAACCATTATTTCTGTTAATTGTAAAGAGCATGCACCAAGTAAAACAAGATGCAAGAGAGGGAATCTCCAAGAAAAACTGCAAATGCCTTTGGGACGGAGGCTATCATAGCCCCAATATTCTGCCAGTTCAGACAAGATGGCCTGTGTGCCTGGGAATTTAATCCTTCTAATTTCCCTTTCTTCATTTGGAGAATGTGTTCTTGGTTCTTAAGGCATATTATTTCCCAATGTCTGAAAAAAATGAAGTAGGCTCTCTAAAAAATAAAATAGATAAAATGGGATCGGACTAGGATCTTGGTCCAAAATGTTAATAGACTGAGATTCTTCTGTCTGAAATAGATGATAGGGTCTTTGTTTGAATTTATAAATTCCTTAAATAAAGAGGAGACTTTGAACCCACTAAAGAGTGGGTTCCCGCTGGTACAATTAAAAAAAATATATTAATCCAACCCATGAAATCTAACATGCTAAAGTTTTAGAGTTCTTCCTGTTTTGGTATTCTTGACCCCAGGCCCAATCCTTTTAAGCCAAAAAAATATATATTGATACTTAATCACTCCTGGAAAAGAACAAGGAGAAAAGTAGCAGTGCTCATTGCAGAACAGAAATCTCACTCTGTATTATCTTTGCCCCACATTTTCTTTAGGAATTGAGTCTGTCTTCCACAATTCTCTTTCACAGTATTCATGATAAAATTGCAAGAACTGTTGCCAGTTCTTTTTTCCTCCCCCACCCCCAACTTTCAATTGTACAAGAGTACTCTATCTTGTGTGCTCTGGCACCACTGACAGAATACAAATAGTTACCAAATGTCAGCTTGTCATGGAGTTATGCATTTATTTGGAAAACCAGTTATCTGTATCGTCTTGCCAAGGATGAAAGCTTAAATTATTCCTTGCTTTTTCCCAGAATGATGAGATTTATTTTATCTTTTAGCTAAACAATACATTTGGCCTTGAAAGTATTGTACCAGGAGCTTTTTATATCACAAGTAGTGAAAGGACACCCTCAAATCATTGACACTTTGTGATCCAACAAGAGGAGCCCATTATCTCTGCATGTAAGAAGTAGCAACCATCATATCTGCTGATAATCACTAAATAAATCAGCCTACCCTAAGGCATGCAGGACATTAATTGTTGGGGAAGTGGGAAAAGGAGTGGGGAAAACCAGATGGATGTTTTGATTGATTTGACTTCTAAAGAATGTCATACAGCAAGGCCATGAATAATTCATTAACTGTATTAAAATACTCTTGGGGTGTTCAGTGTTGGAATGGTTTTACAAAGATAATGAAAGAACACTTCAGCCTGGAACTATTATTTCAAAAACACTTAATTTGACATGGTTGTTAAAGGGCTGTCACACTGTGGGCTCTTGGCTAATCAGAAAGTAATATTGATTGCAATGATTTTTAATATTATCATTGAGTTGCTTCATACTATGCTTTGGGATTAAACAAAAAAAAAACATATTTGAGAAATGGAGCAAAGAAGGTAAATGCATACGGTCATAGTAAACTATTAGCCTTATGTACTAAGACCAATTTCAGAGCCATAAGCATAATGATGGACCGACTATGTTTACCACACTTTGGCCAACTTTGGCTTGAATTCACAACTGAGCAACTTTTATAAGTGGAAGGGAAATAAAATCCTTTTTAGGTTACAGAGAATATGAGGATTCAACAAACATTCTTCAAATAGAAAAAGTCTTTGACATCTAGTTTACAGATACAGCACTTATTTTAAGATAGCTTTTTCTCAACAAAAGTTTTCTGTACAAGAGCTATAAAACTTTAATTTTTAAAAAAATCACCTTTTTGTGCTTCATCTAAATGTTTTTGATGTCTCCATTACTTTACCATCTTGTTAGTAGCACACTGCTACCTTCTAGTAAGTTAATGTTGAACAAAACAAAGTGTGGCATCCCAAGAGGACTTATTGGCAATGATCTGCTGATATCTTGATCAATGCCACTTATCTATCACTTCAGTATTACTGTGAATCTCAAGTATAGCACACTTACCACAAGCTTAATTCTAGTTCAAGATTAATGAAATCTGCCTTACAGGAAAGCTCTGATCCTTAATTAACACAAGGATAGCAATTTTCACAGAAGCCAATATTTATCCACTCCAGTTTAAGAATTGTTGACTATAAATAGTCACTTAGTTTTGTTTTTCCAATTTTTGATTGAATTTCAGATACATCACTCAACTATTCATATAATTAGCAAAACTGCCTAGATCTTTCAGATGGTTGAAGATCTTCAAATCTTTCAGAAATAAGATAACTGTGTTTTGATTCCCGTTTTTGACTGATGCCATCTTATTGAACATGACCATGTAATTACAACAAATCCCCCTCAAGACGTTGCAGCTGAGGCAACCTGAGAAAGCGTCTAATTCTAACTACTTAGATAATGTAACTGCTGAAACAGTACACACTTTCCTCAACAATCACATCAAATGTAATACTCTGTACACAGAGGAAAAGTTGCAGTGAATCTGCTTTCTCCATTTTCACCCGCTGTAGCGCTCCGTCATTGTTACCGCAGTTGTATTGCGTTACGTTCCTGGGTTCATTCTGCTCATAATGAAGCTCTTCACGTTGGGAACAGGGCGCACATCAAACTGGTGTTTGCGGCGTTCAATGAAAGTCGCCAGGCGTGAGGTATCCAGAGGTATTTTGGAATAGCTGCCATTGTGAAACTGCAGCCACGGGTGTTGCAAGCAAGTGGCAGCAGTAGGTCTCCTCCTGAAATCTTCCTGAAGGATCACGTGGATGAAATCTTTGGCAGCATGGCTTACATCGCAAAAGTACTCGTGGGGAAAGCTGAAATCTACTCGGCACACATTGATGCATGTCTCCTCCCTGCTTTCATCCAGAAAGGGGGAAACGCCACTCAACATGACGTAGGTGAGCACTCCCAGACTCCAGATATCTGTGCCCAGGGACACTGGAGCCCCTTGGAGAACTTCTGGAGCAGCAAATTCCGGGTTTCCAAGCAGATGATGGACATGGTAATGGCCTGTGATTTGAACAGCATCTTCAAGGTCAATTAACTTAACACGTGGCACTGGGATCCGTAAATCAATCAGCAAATTTTCTGGCTGTGGAAATTGAAAATTAAATCACATTTTAAAAGGTGTATTGTATATTTCTGTTGTGATAAAAACAGGTTTCAGTCAATACTGGTATAGCCAATATGCTAAGAGAAACATGCCTATATCTGGGGTTACTCCTCAAACAAATATCTTTTTTATAGAAAATAAATCCACAAAAGTATTGTCTGGTAGGTTTGTGGCCCATTACATTCAAGAGGGCATCTAGCATGAATCCTCACATTACTGAAATATGATTTATCAGACCATATTGCTAACCCAATTGTCACAGGTAATTAAAAATCACAAGGCACCAACAGAATATAAAAATTTTAATATGTTTAAACAGTTATGAACTGAGGTGAATGTGATGGGTGCTGAGACAGTTAAAAACTTTGTCTTTATTAGGATAGATTTATTTAAAGCAAACATAATATAGAAAGACAATTTGGGACTGGCAGATGGAAAATACTTAACAGGTTGTGTGATGGTTAGTATCTTCATCTACAAAGATTTCAGTTAAATACATCCTGCAGAATGGCTCAAATGTATGTGGACACTAACTTAATTTCAAATAGTTAAAGCTGGGAAGCAACTTTGCATACTGGTAGTTGGGTTTGCTGTGAAGATGAACAAGCAAAAATGGGTACTTAAGACTGTAGAGGCACAAGTTAATATTTTCTTCTTTTCTCCTTCTTACCTTTATATCCAGATGAGCAACTCGACAATTGTGAAGATATTGTAAAGCTTCCATCGTATCTCTTATATAAAAAGCTATTTTTTCCTCCATCAGTTCATCATGATTCATAAGATAATCCAAGAGGCGGCCATCGTCCATCCTAAAATCCAACAATGTTCCATTACAAAAATAAGTCTCATGAAATCTAAGCGGACTGTGAATTCCAGTCCCATTTTAGGCATGAAAGACAGCTGGGTAAAGTCAGTGGGTTGGGCCAGTCATTCTCTTTCAGCCCAACTCACCTCACAGGGCTATTGTTTTGGGGAAAATAGGAAGAGGAAGGAATATTAAGTATGTTCACCACTTTGAATTATTTATAAGAATAATAAAGGTGGGAAATCAATCAATCATAAATACTGGGATATCTCCCTAAATAGAGTGGTATTTTTAAAAAGAAAAAAGGTGGACAATTATTTTAAAAAAATACTACAGTAAAGGCTTGTGATACTACATTTTCATAAATCCAACTTAATATAAGGAACTCTACATTTAGACCATGCATTTCATAGAAACTTTAAAAATGCATCTTTGGAACCAGACATATACAAAATGTTCATTTCCTTCCTGTAAGGAAATGAAATGGCTTTTGTGAAAATAGTCAGATGTACAATATGATAGAACAGATAAATACCATATTTTTCAGAGTAAGATGCCCCTTTTCCCCCTCAAAAAAGAGGCTGAAAATCTGGGTGCGTCTTATACACTGAATTTTTTTGCCTTCTGAAACTCCACCCGCTTCACCAAAATGGCCATGCATAGCCTTTAGGAGGCTTCCAGAGTGCTCCTGGGGGCTGGGGAGGGCAGAAATGAGCGAAAAATGGGTCGTTTTTTGCTCCTCCAGCCCCCAGGAGCACTCTGGAAGCCTCCTAAAGGCTATGCATGCCCTTTTTTGACAAAAATGGGCCTTTTTTTGCAAAAAAACGGCCGTTTTTGGGAGGTCTGCAGAGTGCAAAAACTTTTTTTTTATTTGCCTCTTCAAAATCTTGGTGTGTCTTATACTCCGGTGTGTCTAAGACTCTGAAAAATACGGTAAGTGACTTGTTTCAAGAAATAAGAAGTTTAGCTTCCATGTAGGACTTACAGTTCTAAAACTAAGATATAGGAAGATGGCGACTCATAAGTGTCATGAATGGTGATATACTGAGGATGTTGTAGGTGCTGCAACATGGCTGCTTCATGTGCTGCCTGCTCTTTCTTTTTCATTTTTTTATTGACAAACTTCACTGCAACATCCTTCCTTGTGGCTTTGTGAATACATTTCTTTACGACAGCAAATCGCCCCCTGGAAAATTAAGACCATTAAGATACCTTGTGAATAAAGGATGAATCCATTTTGGTTCAATATCAATAAATTTTAAGAGCTTTCTAAAGTCATTGAGTTATTAACTTTACATGTAATTTATTGTTTTTTGCCCTGGCAATATATTCTTTTGGGAAAAGTAAAACGAATACAACTATATTCAATTTTTTCCCCAATGAATCTATTATAAGAGATTCTAACTATGAATTATAAGCTGAATTCTGAGTAGCTTTGTGTGGGAAGAACTCCCTCTTCCCAAAATTAAATTGTAAAAATTTAAAGTTAACACTTTTGTCCATCTCCATACACATATCCTCACAAATGTATACCATGGATAAGGTTCTATAAGAATACTCAAGCCCTCTATCATAAACCTCAAGATAACTTTGTATCCTCCATAGTCAGGAGACAGGTGGACATACATAGTTTCTACTGAACTATATGCCAGTCCCAAATCATGGACCCTTTACACACGGCAGGAGAGAAAGTTGAACACCTTTCATATGCGCTGTCTCCAACATATCCTTGGCATCCCTGGTATGACAAACTTCCAAATAGCACAGTATTGGAACATGTTGGAATGTCTAGCATGTATACATTATTGAAACAGCGATGTCTACGCTGGCTTGGGCAAGTTGTGAGAATGGCTGATGGTCGGATTCTGAAAGATTTCCTGTATGGAGAATTAGTGCAGGGAAAGTGCCCCAGAGGGAGCTGCAATATAAGGATATCTGCAAGAGGGATCTAAAGGCCTTGGGAACGGACATTAACAGCTGGGAAACCTTGACCTCTGATCGTTCAGCTTGGAGGCTAAAGATGCAGCATGACCTTCTTCAATTTGAAGAGACACTTGTTTGGCAGGCTGAGGCAAAGAGGCAGTCCCGGAACCAGCGAAATCTAGGGGCTGGGCAGGGGACAAAATATATCTGCCCTCAGTATGGAAGGGATTGCCACTTTCGAATTGGCCTTTTTAGCCACACCAGATGCTGCTTTATTACCTCTTTCCAGAGCACGATACCATAGTCTTTTGAGACTGAAGGATGCCAATATATATGCCAGTCACAAATCATGAACACAATTTGCTCATCAGAAAGGGCAAATCTTTCTCTCCATATTTTTACATAGATAAATCCTGTGCCCAGATTTAGTCAGCACTGTTTTCTTTCTAGTGGTTGTCCATAGAGATTCTTAATCATCCAAGCCATGAATGTCCAACGTTTCTTTTTCTAAAAGGCAACAGGACTTTTTAGGAGGGTTTTCTTTAAGAACGTTTTGCTTCTCATTCAAGAAGCTTCTTCAATTATTCGTTTAGAACTGAAGAATAGCAATAACACTTAGACTTATATATGATTCCATAGAGCTTTACAGCACTCTTTTGGCGGTTTACAAACGTCAGCATATTGCCCCCAACAATCCTGGTCCTCGTTTTACCAAACTTGGAAAGATAAAAGGCTGAGTCCGCCTTGAGCCTGTCAGGATTAAATTCCAGGTTGTGGGCAGAGTTTGCCCACAATACTGCATTCTAACCACTATACCACTAGGGCTTGGAAGCTTCTTGGATGAGGAGGGAAACATTTTCAAAGAAAAATCCCCCAAAGTCCATTGCCTTTTGGAAAAGCACTTTTGTAACTTTCTAGTGGTTCTATATCTCCAGGTGATTATTTCTTCATTTGACTTTAGCATTAAAAGGTTTCTAAGGTGAGCTTAGAAAAAGCAGTAACACAGAGCCTGCATTTATATATCATGCTAGATCATCATGTTTTCCTTCACTAAACCTACCACTGTGGTTTGTAAACATTTGATTAATAGCTTAGAGCAATGTACTAAACTATCCACTTGTGAGTTAGTCATGGTTTAAAAAAAGACTGGTTTCTGTTGCAAATGATAGCATGTACAGTAGTGATGGGGCTTAGTAAGAGAAGGAAGAAAAGAAAAGTAAATTCTGGTGAATGGAGCTCATCATATTGGGAACTAGATCCAAGCCCACAAAGATTTTAAGCAATTTAATAAATGAATTGGGATACATAGAGAGAAGATACTATGAGTGTGTGTCTGTGTGCACAATGTTGTGCAATGCAGTGCTTCTAACTCAGCTGGGAAGATATGTTTTTGCAACCCATGAAAGTGTGAATGCGGTGACTCTCCGTGATTGATTAAAGCAGTCTTTTTCAGAGATTGTGTGGTTGCTATGGAGAGACTCCCATTGCAATGATAATATGATTAAAAAGGTGCAATTATACTTTCTCTACATTTTCTTTTGTGAAATTACTTCCTTACCGTCCAATTTCATTCAGTTCTGTATAGGCAAAATCAAAATTCTCTTTCCAAGTAATGGTAGCACCATCCGCTGCAGAGTCTTGGTGGAACCAGATGGGTTGGGAAATAGAATTATAAAACAGATACAGTCAATGTTAGGTAATTATTTTAGCAGCAGCAACAACAGCTATAACAAACTACAATAGCAATGGCACTTAGACTTATATACCATTTCACAGTGCTTTTACAGCCCTCTCTAAGTGGTTTACAGAGTCAGCCTATTGCCTCCANCCACGGAGACGTCTTTGGACAGCGCTGGCTCTTTGGCTTTGAAACAGAGATGAGCACTGCCCCCTAGAGTCAGGAATGACTAACACATATGTACGAGGGGAACCTTTACCTTTAGCTAAGGTCAAAGCAGGGTGGTGGTGGCCCTTTGTTGTGGCTACAAAATCTGAATATGTAGAGAAGTTTAAAAATCCTTTTTCTCTCAGGCTTCTTCAGATGTAAGTCCAAGATGAGAAATCATATAACCATTATTTTCTTACAAAAAATTGTTCTACATAAAATAATGCATGTTTCCAAGCAAATGATGCCTTCCAGATCCGTTCAATTAAAGTGTGGCCCACTTGCGTTCTTGTTGCCACTTGCAGAGACTTCCCTCCAAGTAAATGAGACCAAACTGCTATTTATTAATGCTACTACTATTGCTAGGGGGAACTTGGCCTTTGTTTACTCTATTAATCTGTTCCTCCTAAAACACCATGATTAAAATCAATACCATTTCATCAAGCAAACCTATAAAAAGGTTTTATACAACAGGCTCCATGTACTTAGCTTATAAATGAAAGGAAAATTCATTACCTTGTACTTTGATTGTTGCTGATGTGGATGCTGTTCCAAGTTCATTTGTGGCCACGCAGGTGTAAATGCCACTGTCCTGAGGCATCACGTTGCAGATCTTTAGGGTAATGTCACCTGATTCACTAGAGAAGAGTAGAAGTCAAAAGGTTAAGTTGAAATTCTGTCAAGTGGCTTCTCTTCCAGAACTTAACTTTTTCAGTGTTTCTGGTAACTAGAGTCATGGGTTTGAAATGAGTGACTATACAAATCCACCAATCCAATCCAATCCATCAATCAATCAATGGAAAGTGAGAACCAATGGAAAAATAGAAAAGTTGTGCTCTTTTCATTGAGTCTATGGACATTAGTCACACAAAAGGAAACAAATAATTTACTAATAGATATTGGTTCACACTGCTCTGTTTAATGATTGTGATGATTGCAAAAATGGAATGGTTTTGCACTATAAGTAGATCGGTTATTCATACTGTGCAAATCAAGAGTCTAGAATTTGGAGCCTATGTGAAGTAAGGTTCTTGTTACTAGTCTCTCTCCTCCCAAGGACTTTTTTAAATATGATTTTTTAAAATATGAAGCTAACATTTGGTTAAAAAAACCTCTAGCCGTGAATATCATCTTTATTCCTAAGAATGCTCCTTAGCTCCATTTAGACTTATGAGATAAAGACAATGGGTGGCTGCACCCAGAACTTTGTTTGTAAGTGTAGTTACCTACATAGAAAACAACACCAATAAAAGTGATCTGGAATACTAGCATCTTCATTTTTATTCAAGGCATGCTTTGTGATTAGTTGACCCTGTTGTGAATGCACCAATCTTGCCTGCCCTGTTATGAATGCACCAATTCTCCGAGGACATCCATAGAGAGATGATCTCCAGAAAAAGCAGAATTTCACTCATCAGCCCCAATCCTGATCAAGAGATGTTGAATACCTCATTTAAAGGGTGATTGGAACACGAACCAACATGATTAAGATAACTGAACACTAAGATCACAGTGCTGCTATATTTACACTTTGACATTCCTTTGACGTTTAACCTTCTTTTACTGTTTATGAAAAGATCTATACAAACATAGCAGTCATACACAGTGATGCATACAGTGGATGACTTACAGTAACATAGAATTATTAAACTTTGCAGATGAAGGTGGAAATGACACAATGGAATGAACAGATGGAAAGTTCCTATGGGCCAAAAACAGAATAATGAATTCATCTCCCATGCCATCGTGGGGGCTGTCTTCTGTGTTCCAATATTGATAGTTAAATACATGCAGTTGTCAGCAACTTTCAGAGCACAGGCCTAAACTTGTCTGCCTCTCCTGGAATCAGCATAAATTCATGAGATTGACAAAGGGCCAGAAAAACCCACCATATGGCAATTGTGATGTCTTACAGAAGATATTTCCTCGTACAGGTGCAAAGGAATTCTCAGGAAACCTTTTCCTTCTTATGCCACGAGAACATTCTTATCCAGCCATGGATCTTACTTGACAAGGATTATTAAAATGCATTGGGAGCCCTAAGAAGAACATTCCTTTAGCAACTGATATATACTGTATCGTATTTTCAGGCAGCTATATGGATCAAATCAATTCTGATTTGGACTTTTCTTTGAATACGGTGTAAAAATGTCCTTGAATTCCTCTTGATACAGGGCATACACTGTTTTGAAGAAAGTTTGGGCATGTGACCAAACCTCTTCCTTCTTATGACTTCTTATGGTAAATCGTATGGTTTGATCAAGAAGTTGATTAACGCTTCTCTTAACAAAGAAATGCTTTTGTATTTTAATGAAATACATGGTGATAATAAATATGGGCATCTATTTCTAAGATCTTTTTTCTTGAGATTAATTATCTTGACTATCTGATTTCAATCTACTTGGTTTATATACTTTCCAACACAGTATAATGTGTGAATATGTCCATATTCATTCTGTTGGATCTATTAGTAGCTATCACATTATTTGGAGAAACTTTAAGTAACAAGATCCTTTTAGTCATTGTTTCCCATTGGGGTCCAACATTCTTGCTGTTGGAGGAGCTTGTGTAAAATAATTCAGATTTTTTTTAAAAAAAGTTTTTAAATTCTAAATATTTTGATCTATTTTTCAAAAATGCACTAATCCTTTTCACTGATTTATGAAATTGATTGCAATATTAAGGTATTCTGAGGGCCACCAATCTTTATAATAGAATATAAAGATGTAATGGCATTTTAAATAGAAGGTACCTAGGCTGTCTGCCTGTGAAAACTTGTCATCAGATGTAACTTCTCTTGAAATAATGTTTACTTTTTAATTTTTATTTTAAAAAATTGACACAATAAGTAAGGTAGGAATGGTAACCAGCATTTTTGAATCCCATTTCTGCAGCTTCCAAAAATCCTTTCAGTTTTTTCAAGGTCATCTTGAGGTAGGAAACACATAAAAGCTATTAATTAAGCTATCATTTCAACTTTTTTCTAAAAGAAAAATCTTAACAACACCTATCCATGTAGGTGTAATTCAACTTTCTCACTATTGTTAGGTCCAAAACCAAGAATGACATGTGGTTAAATCCAAGCTGAGCCGTGGTGGTGCAGTGGCTAGAATGCAATACTGCAGGCTACTTCTGCTGACTGCAGCTGCCAGCAGTTCAACTGCTGAACTGCCGATTCAACCTTGAGCCAATTCTTGGCTCAAGGTTGACTCAGCCTTCCATGTTTCAGAGTTTGGTAAAATGAAGACCCAGATTGTTGGGGGCAATATGCTAACTCTGTAAACCACTTAGAGAGGACTGTAAGGCACTGTGAAGTGGAATAGAAGTCTAACTGCTATTGCTACTTATAGGTTTAGCACATACAGACAAAATCTTGCCAGGCTGAGGAGTCTGCTTTCAGCACGTACAATATACTCTGTGAACTATTAGGGAGGATCTGACTTCATCCTCTTTCTTTCACAAATAATATCTGGACTAAGTTGCCTCTTACTTCTCTGGACTGCATCCCCTCCCTCCTGGGGATCTACCTCCTTACTATATTCCATCACAATATAAATTATAGTTTCTGTTGACAAAACAGTTGCCCATTACTATAGCAGGGAGTTGGAAATTCTTTTTTCTATATTCCTCTTGACCGATGCAGGTTATAACAATAGCACGTAGACTTATATACCACTTCATAGTGCTTTTACAGCCCTCTCTAAGTGGTTTACAGAGTCAGCATATGGCCTCCAACAATCTGGGTCCTCATTTTACCAACTTTGGAAGGATGGAAGACTGAGTCAACCTTGAGCTGGTGAGTTTTGAACCGCT